TGCAGCGTGTAAGCTCGACACGTTAACCACTTCGCCATGATGCCACGAGTACCCTTGGGTCACAGATTCTACTCCCGCTAGGGGTGTTGGTAGGACCTTTGAGAGGTCGAAGCTGCAGTCGACCCTGGATGAAAACACCTTTTAGTAAAGTAAGGCTATGTAAAATTCAATGGAAACGTCAGTTCTATTGATATAATTGTGGGAAAATTTAACTATCAGTGATCATCACCTTAAAGAAAATAGGGTGAATACATCTCATAGAGCTGATTTACTGGTAGTCTCGAAACTCTTATAAACGAAAAGGAGTATTAATGTGTCCGATTTAATTAGAAGAGGTGTAAATAAATGCTCAGGATCTCCTGTACGTCTACCTATCAAGTTTCACTTTTTGGTTGCCAAAACATAATGTAAAGTTTTGCTCTGGGCTTGCTGCAAAATTTGTTAGCACAATAATTTGTCATTTTTAAACCTTGGTTTTATTTATTTTGCTGACAATCAATTTATTGTTGGGGAGACTTTCATTTCGTATGAAACTGCATGAAGGAGGGATTAGTAGGTTGATCTCACCAGAAGACGACGGCTGATTCCTGTTATAATGCAGCCATTTGGCTTTAATAAAACGTTCGGGTTGACTCAATCCACGAGACCACGTTCCTCGTTTAGTGTGAAAACAGGCAGTTTTCGTCCATCTGACATCATCAGAGCTGGAGATCATTTGTGTAAGAGTCCCACGTTAACACTAGGTCAAGAAGACTATCTGTATATGCACACAAATATTCCTGTTTAAGATGCCATTCAGGCTTTGGTTCAAACTCTGGAGTAGATTTCAGTGATCGTACAAGGAATAAGGTTGAGTATAGTCTCCATCCTTAGACCTTAGATGGCAAGTTTTATGAACATACACAAGGACTTGCGATGGGATCTTGCTTAGCTCCCTTCCTGGCTAACAACTACATGGCCAAACTTGAGGAATGCTTTTTGAAAGAGGTAATATTAACCCCCAAATTGTGTATTATATACATGGATGACTAATTTATCATCTGGCTCTATGGTAAGTAAAGCTTAGATGGGTCCTACTTTCACTTAACCAATTTGAGAGGAACATTGAGAAAAGAAGGCGACTCAACTTATCCTCTCAGTGATGCTCCTAACTTCTCTCACACTCATCCAACATGTTAGATTAAGCTCAGCAACCAAGCCAGACGTGCCAGATTACGCAGTCCTAGTTGTTCCTTTCCTCGGGTTAAACGTTAATGCCCCCAGATTAAGAGGTTACGATAAGTGGCTTCGTAACTAGACTTACATGCTTACAAGCTCACATCTTATTATCTCACCCATACTTGCTCATGGACTTACGCAGTCTCGGTCAGGGCTTTCTCAAGTCATTTAACCTTGATTATCAGAGCCTGATATTAGCCTTTTTGATCACTCTGACTTACAACTGGTATTGTGTATAGACGTTGAAAAATAAACACACACACACACTCAGGCAAAAGTAGCATGTTAAGTAGTAAAGGTAATTAGCCACACAATTCTCTATCCATCTATGTTTATTTACTTTTGTTTTTTATTTATAAGTTCATATAAGAGGCAAGAATGAGCCGAACATTCTTCTTGACTCAATGTAAGACTTTTCAAGAATGATTTCTAGCTATGTTGATGTTATAATATGATCGACGAAAGCTCAGCCAACTTTCACCCAAAGCAAGAGAGGATGTCTCGTCTACTGCGTCGTATTAAAGCTAATATACTGTAGTACAACGAGAATCAGATGTAGTCTTATGGTTATATCAACTAGTAATATCCTCTTCATGCACTTTAATACAATATGAAAGTTTCCCTAACAATGTTATCTTATCAAATTCGTCGAAACCCAGTTACTCTTCGTATCATTTAATCTTTCCTTTTCTTAGGTATTTCTCCAAATAATGAAAATGTTCGCGAATCCACTGGTGAAATTCCTTCGTCTGGTATCCCACTGCACCTCACCGGAAACTTACTTTGCTTTTCTGTTGTTATGTTTCTCGAAGACGAAGCATCTTTAGGCACAAATAGTTTTAGTGGCGGCACACTTGTACCTACTTCCAAAGAGGGCTTTCCACCCTCTTCAATCCCGACTTCTGTATCTTCACCTGTAATCGATCTGCTGCAGTCGCCGTCCGCTTTACCAGCTGATCAATCTGCTGATCGAGCATCCGATCAGGATGCCACAGCGGCAATTAGACCCAGATCTGGCGTTAATTTGACCTCGCAAACTGCTCACAAGTCTAGCCTGTCCTGCCTACCGAGCCGCCTTGCTATACAGGAGCAGGCTAGCCAAGCATCTTCAGGCTCATGTAGTCCAATTTCCTCCAGGCTTTCTTCCTCATCTTCCTCTTACTCTTCGCCCCAAATCGATTCGGAGACGAAAACTCAAAAATCCTGGCCCCAATTACAGTCAAATAATCGTCTAACTTGTAAGGAAGAAACTCCTGAATCCCTAGGTAGCGAAGTACAAAGAGAGGAGGAAGAGGAAGATTGCGAAGATCAATTTCATGAAGTCGTGTCTGATTATGTTCCCATTTCACGCAATTCCCAGGTACGGGAAGCTTTTCCATCTTCTGACCTGAATGATAACTTTGATTTTTCCTCCAAGCCTACTGAGTCCTGTCTGTGTCCTGCACAGCCGAAAGAGTTCAAACCCACTCTTCGGGATTCTAACTCCTTCCAAGCCAGCCAAAGCAGCTTTACCATGTCTATTTCTGCTTCGTCCAATCTTCCAGCATCGAGCAGCAACTCTCAAGTTGACAATCCCAATTCACTTGAACACCCGGTTCCGTTACAGCAACATTCTCTAGGGAATACTAAAAACACTAGATCAACACCTGAGTTTACCTCCGGGGCAACCATGTATGCATCTTTACTTCCTGGACCAGCTCTTTTCTTCGCCCGTCTTCATGGCCTTTCACCTTGGCGATGCGTCGCTTGGCAGCATACCGACGCTCCAACTAAAGAAGAGGTATAGCTTTTTTTTTCTATTTTGTATTCTGTTCGGCTTGGTTTTTATTCCCAGAATATTGACATGTAAAAGTTCATCAAGAATTGTATGGCTTTTGATGGACTTGATAGCCTTTTTGTTTACTTGCGAGTTCTCCAGTGTGAATACACTAAAAGTTGACTTTTAAGAGACAAAGAGTGTAAAATAGCTATTTGATAGCAAGAATCCTTTATAATTCCCATTATCCCAACCATAGGCCCACAGGTATATTCAGACATAATTAACATTGAATTAGCCACAGTCGAAGTTCTCTTCAACCTCTATCTTCATTATAGACATGCTAGTAGTAAATTGAGTGACGTACAAGCCTTTTGGAATTTCATTAATGGAGTTTCAGAAAGGCTAAGCTAATTATTGATACTGTCACTTTAATTCTAACTTCATTATCTTTTTACTAACTAACTAAAGTATATCGCTGATTATTTCATGGGAGGATCCTAGCCTTTCTTCAAGCTATGCAAAAACCCACTTAGTGAGATATACTAATTTAAAATATATCCGTAAGATTTTGAATGAAGAAGCCGATTATTGTGTGATTGAAATAAATGTGAATTACCAAAAGAGGCAGCAAAGGTCAAAGTGCTCCATTTCTAGATGGCGTTTCTATATTTATTTTTTTTATTGGTTCATATTTTCTGTGTTGTAATGTTACTCCATGCGTTTACAAGCACGATGGCGTATAAGTTCCCTTTTCTTCAATAAGGGATGATAATGAAAAGAATTTAATCAAATTTAAGGTATGAAGG